CCCACCCCACCCCGCCAATAGGAGAGGAGGAGCCCTGAGGCGAGGGCGGTCCCTCCCTTGAAGGCACTCTCCAGGCCTTTCCTGACCGCTGGTTTTCTCTTGAGAATGGTAATGCCTTGGTCTTCCCCACCCTCACCTATCCACAATGAAAAGGGAGCCCATGGAGCCCTTGGCCAGGACCTGTGGGGCACCACTCTCTTCCCTTCTACTCATTCCTCAGCCCATAGAGGAATTCCTCAGTCCTGGAGAGGGCATAGGTGCCTTCCAGGGAGTTTCCCTTAGACACCTTTAAGGAAATGGAGGGGTCCAGGGACTAGAGGGAACAGCACTGAGGTTCCCCTCCCCCTTGCCTAAGGCGCCAAGGAAATCTTTCTCACTTTCCAAGGCAGAGCTTAAGAGGTGAGTTGGCAACTCCTCTCCCCTGCAGTGGAAAATGCTAGGAAGGTAACGTCCTGTAAGGACCAAGGATAGGGTCAGGGACCTTGCTGTGTCACCTCGCTGAGTTGGAAGATGCCCAGAGGACACTGCAAGAAGTAGGAAAAGTGTTTAGACTTTACTCCTGGGCAGGTGATGGCTCAAGTTCCAAAATAAAGTTCTACAATTCAAAACAGCTTAGCAAACCCCACCCTTGCTGATCACCTGATCACTGGGCACTCACCAGGCAGGGAGCCTTGAACTTCCGAATAGGTCATTCTCAGACTCTGGCTGGCACACACACTGTAAGGATGTGGCTTCTTGGTTGGTGTGCAGAGATCCCTGACAAGGAGTTCCCAGCCTCAGTGACCTGGAGTGGGAGGTATGGTGAAAACCTGTCTCCTCCCCCTCCTCCTCCTCTTCCTCTTCTCCATAAACTCGATGGACAAAAATGGACTGGAAGCCCATCAAGACTGAACAGGAGACCACCATGCTTCATGATGGTCCAAACACACAAGCTGTCCATCAACTGATAAAATGGCACATGGTGGCTCCTACCTGTAATCCCCACATTCCAGAGAGAGGAGAGGAACTACATGGGTTTGGAGTCACCCTGGTCTATACAGTGAAGCCCTGTCTCCAAGCGAAACAGTGAGATGCTAAGTGTCACTATGTTGCAGGCCACGAGACACAAGCACACATGAGAAAAGACAGTCAAGGAATGCTCGCTCTCCCCTGACTCCATTGCAAAGAAGCACTGTAGAATCAAAGTGAAGCTTTGGGGGTACCTAGGTCAGGGCAGGGAACAGAACAGGAAGGAGGCTATAGCCAAATGAGCGCATGGTTTTTTTGAGATAATCCCAGATACTCAGGATGATCTAAAATTGGTCTGTGGGGACAGTTTCTCAACTGTACATTCGCTAAAAATCCACAGAACTCTATAAGCTACAGGGGTGAGCTTTGTAGTACACCAATTATTTTAGAAAAGTTTTATTTTTCCTTTAAATTGTGCATAGAGGTATTAGGCTGAACTGGGGTCTGAAGAGCGCCTGGGTGTCCCCTCTCTCCTCTAAAGCTCTCACCTGGCAACCTACCTGGCCCCTCCCAGAATCAAGTAGATACTCGGTAAATGAATACCAATGGTATCCCAGGTTAGAAAGACTAAAGCTGTTTCCCCCAACTCAGGGAAGCCCTGAGGACTGATGTGGCTGCCCTGGGGCAGGTGGAAACACACACACACACGCACACGCACACACACAGTGTGTGTATGTGCACAGAGAAGAGATAAGAAAAAGCCCACAGGAGGACCAGTTCAATCCCACATTGCCCGAGCTGGCTGCATTCTTACAGAGAGTGCAGATTCATTGATGTGTTTGCCTATCCATCAAAGATTTCCTGAGCACCTACTGTGTGCCCACACCTGTGATTCCTCAGAGAAGCATAGTGAACAAATAAATCCTGGCCTTGGCTTGGTAGTACTCCATAGATAAGTCACAGACAAGCAATGAGGCCAGGAGGCCTCCCTGGAGGAGAGGTGGGCCTGAGGCCAGGAGGCCTCCCTGGAGGAGAGGTGGGCCTGGTGAAAAAAGATGACGTTCAGGGAACAAAGGCATGAGAAAAGCAGCCAATCAAGACCATGGGAGGTATCTCCAGGTATAGGGAAGATCCGGGGCAAAGCTCATGAGAGGGATAACATAGATTTCTACCATCCTTATAGAGAGTTAGGGCCTAGCCCAATGTCCTGTGTCCCATTTGCGGGGCCCAGCTTGGTGTTCTGTGCCCTCTTTGCAGGGCCTAGCCTGGTGTTTTGTGAGCCCCATCACCCCTTGCCTTCTTTAGAGTTTGCCTTTTGTTCAAGAATGGGGCAAAGCAACCGTTGGCAGAGACATGTCTCCAAAGGGTCCTTCAGTTGCTGTTGGGAGGCACTGGCTGGTGGGAAGGGGGCATGGAGGTGGGAAGGGGGCATGGAGGTGGGAAG